ATTTCGATGAGAGGTATGGAAGCAGGACCCGATCATCCCAGACACCCATCATCCTATCACTCCAAGGTAAAACAGGCAACACCCATTACCACAATAACTTATCGCCTGGCTTGATTATTCTTTTTTAAACCATTCCCATATAAAATCTGGATCAGCTTAAAAATGTTTCTTCACTACAGTATGTTTAACACATCCAAAATAGTCTCTAATTTTTAAAATTTATTATTGCCCTAGATGTTCAAAGATTTGGACTTAATCAAATTATAATGAAATGCAAAAATGAAACCGTCATAGAATTTCACCTTTTCTCATTGTGTATCATGTAAATAGTTACAAAGCATAAATATTTTCAAAAGTTTAAAAAGCATCAGAATAAGCCGTCAATGTAGCAGAATTCTTTTTTAAGAATAGGACAAATGAAAAAAATTTATTCTCAAGCATTATTTTATTTCAATATGACTTCTATTGAGAAGCACCTGGCTGGCTCAGTCCGTAGAGCCTGAGACTCTTGATCTTGGGGTTGTGAGTTCAAGCCCCACACTGAGTATAGAGCTTACTTAATAATTAATTAATTAAAATTTAAAAATAGAAAAAAGTATGCTTTCTATTTAACGTTCAGCTATCTTCTACTTCTAATATCTAGGACTTGACTCGGGCTAACGTAAAAACAGACACTATGCCTGTATTAGCCATCTTCATCTCAGAAGGAATAAATATCAAAAGTCAGGAATGTTCTCCACATGAAAAAACTTGAAGCAGAAGCATCATGACTGTAGACAGTGACAAAAGTTCACAAAATAAGAAGAAAAGGCACTGTCATTGTTCCTTATACTCATGGCTGTGAGACAACACTGAATGTTGGGGACCAGAAGGCCAAGGGACAAAGGTGAGACGCGCACATCCATTGTCACACGTGAACTGGATCATCAGCAAACATTTAAGGTAGTTTTCCTCACAGTTTGCCTCCCCAGTATAATCTGCCAATTAGACAAAGTTTTTGCTTGATGGAAAAAAAAAAAAAGCCCTAAAACATAGATTTTTCTCTAAAGGTCAGGGCAGTCATTCCCCTATAACAGAGCTTAAGTGGCGGCTGGAATGTGCCTTGCACCTCCTGGATATTTCTGTTAATTGGCTTCAGGCCTGTTCACCAAGTCAAGGTAGTGAAAATGGCAGGCTCCCAATTAGCTTAAATTTCCCTGAAGGTCCCTCTACTTTCAGGCCTTCAATTCCTCCAATAACATATTGTAAAGTTCCTGCCTCCTTTTGTGGAATTTATTAGTTGCAATAAACTGTAGGGATATAAGAACAAAGTCAGCTTATGATCTATTACCTGCCAATATTAAATTATAGGCTACACAGAGTCAGGGAAATGGTAATGGTTAAAAGGAGTTCAGATTTCTTAAAGCATTGCCACACGTCAAAACTAAGCCTTTTGTTGATTTTTGTTGTTGTTGTTTCTTGGGTCTCAGAGTCAGAATTTCAGAAGCATGAAAACTTTTTCAAGGCAATACCACAGCAACCCATTTAGTATTGGATTCTTTGTGCTTCCTCTAAGAGCTCACAAGAAAAGGATGCTCTTTGAAAGATACATAGTCCTCTACCTTCTGAGAGGAACCTGATGTAGGATTCAGCTACAGGCTATTCTGAGCAAGAATTAGTCACTGAAAAGCAAGACGTCTATTTCTGGAAATCACGATGAGCTTGAGTCCAAGTGCTTGCTGGTACAAAGTTCTAATAAAATACATCCCCTACCTTTGATTATATGAGTGCGTACCTTACGAATATTCTAAAAGAGGGAAAGATTCAATATCCCCTTATAGGGGATCAACACCACAAAAAGTGAAAGCCACCTTCAGCTACCAGAGGTGCCTACTAGCTCAACACTTTAACACGCTCTCTTGTGCTTTTTATTCCTACTGTTTATTCCCACCGGCAAAACTGATCTGGTCAGAATTGCCTTCAAAAAATCAGATAATGAGATGAGCAATCTAGTAGGAAACAGAGCAAAAACAAAACCACTGAAGACATATAAAATCTAGAACTCTGTTGACCTCTTCAGTCCAGATGGCGTAACTCATGGAAGGCAGTTCTACCCTGGTGATCCCAAATTGTAAAGGCAGGGGGGTGATTTTTGTTTTTTACCATATAAAACATTATTTTTATCTATGCGATGCTCATCTCTTATTATATTTTTAATGGCAAAAACTAAGGAGGAAAAAAGCCCACAGAAGAGACATTTGGCTATTAAAGTCAGATGACTCATGGGAAACAGTTAAAAGAATAAATGCACCATTAAATGAGACTCTCTGGACTAGATTTACAGTATGTCTAGCATAACCTCTTTGTCTTCTTCTGCCCAAACAATTGTGCCTACTTTTAGGCAAAGTTTTAATACAGATTTTGTGTTGTTTTTGCTATTCTTGTCTAATTAAATAGATTTCAGTTTGGTTAATTATCCTGCTGATGTGAAATCATCAAATTCAGTGAATGGATCATCATTTTTTAAATTTAAGCCAAGGAAGAAGATGTTTTCAGGCTCAGGAATCAATTAACTGATGCCATTTACATTAGACTACATAGACTAAGGAAGTACTTATTTTTTAAAACCTGCTTATCAAGGAACAAATGCTTCAAATAACTTCAACAGAAGCAAATCAAGGTTGAGTCTTTTGGGAAGAAAAAAAAGTATGTGGCTTCCCAGTGCAACTCCTTTTGTGTAAAAAGAAACTATTTTATACCAAAATTACAAAGAAAAACTATATTACCTCCTTAAAAACACATCTACAACCACAACAGTTAAAAAAAAAAAAGTGTATTTTTAGAATACAACTAAATATATCCTACTTTAGAAACTCTGGACTGCCAATTTTCTCCCCTAATCTTGTAATAACAATAATCATATTTAGCACAGTTAGCTAACCATACCTCCTTTCTTGCTTTATGGGAACCCTGACTGTATTCAGTGATGAGCAGCTGTGTTTAGGGAAGACAATCCGCCACACCCACACCCCCAGCTCCAGGAGATCAAGCTCAACGAGTCCCAACCAACAGCTCCCTTTTTTTAGAAACTGGTGTGCAAGTCATACAATGCTAGGCAACACAACGTGAAGGGCACCTATTTGGGGAGGGGGGAGGGGCTTGTGGGAAAGGTTTGTCTGCTTTCAAAAAGAGCCACGCAGAAGATAAAGGCACTGTTCCTCTTCCATACAAGGACGTGATGTCTGAGGCTCTGACACGCTGGAGCACACAGACATGGAGGCCCTTTGTCGGGCTCCCAGCAAATGGAGGACCTGGATCCTCAGTGAGGTCCGCTGGGTTGTGGACTACACCACCAATCATCCCTTCCTCCAGATTTCTTGTTAAATGAATAAGGAGTATCGTCTTCTTAGGCAATCTAGAATTTCTGTTCTTGGCTGCCAACTTTTTTTCTAACAAATATATTAAGACACACAGTTTTCCTGGGTACCAGGCATGATTCTAATAAGCCCTTGGTAGGTATTCTATCACTGGATGCAGCAACTGTAGGAGCAGGTTCTATGATTATACTCGTTTGATAAACGAGTAAACTGAAGTATGGACAAAGTAGCCACATGCCCAAGTCTCATTTATGGTGGATAGCTGGTAACCAGCCAGTCTGACTACAGGCCCATGCTAAACTAATCCTTTAAAATATTTAGCTCAAAATGGTAATGAAATAATAACACCAATGAGTTTAAAATCTGTATTTTGAGAAAATAATGTTTTTCCTAAGTAGGACTTCCATGGTTTTTTAATTATTTAAAATTATTTCCATCACACAATGCTTCTAATGTATTCTAACATTTATGATATGATAAAAATCAGTACGTTTGTGATACCGTACATGGTATCAAAGGCAAACTGTCCCTTTTTTATTGTTTCATATTCCAACACCCCCACACACAAAATTATTTTAGGAGGCTTATGCTATAAAACACAGACTAAGATGAATTAAAAGTAAAACATTTAGGACTTCTTTCCACTGGCATCATTAATCTAAATTGAAAAACAACTATTCCACTATCTAGGCAATAATTAATAATTTTAGAAATTACAAAACAGAAAACAAAACATTCTTAGTATTCACTAGCCTTCAATTTTAAATGAACTTTTTTAAGAAAATAAGTGACAAAGTAAGGAGGTAAGTGTGTTTTTAATACAAAAACTGTTTAAAACAATAAAGAAAACCCTAGAATTTCCACTAAAAAGAAAATACTGTGACTAACAAGAAACAATTCAGACTTTAAACAACAACACTGAAAGAACTTGTTTTTTATGTGTCACAACTAACCGGATAAATTCTTAGTTTTCATGTGGTGACGGCTTCTCCAGCAGCGACATAAGAAATTTGTAAACAGCTGCTTTTCCCAGGACACAAACCAGTTACTTACACTGAGTGGTAAACGATTCTGATTTCACGAATGGTAGATGGCCAACCCTGCAGAGTAAACTGAGCACCTCTAAAAACTTACAAACCTCAAATAGTTCCCTGACATTTATGAAAGGGAAAGTCCCCAAACCCAATGAAATCATCGAAATTCTGAAATAACACTATAGCATGTATTTCTCCTATAGAGTGAAGTCAGGTAAGATAGAACATTTTAATTTGCCTCTTCAGGTCCTTTGACTTACTGCTTATCAATAAAGAGAAGAACCTATAAAGTGGTCTTGAAAGTCTACTCAAGCCGTACTATTCACTGCCAAATGTCTATGCCTCAGCAACGTAACAAATTCGGAAGTCATGATACTCCAGGATCCACAGCAAATATTCATAACCGCTTAGGAGAAATCTTTGATCCAGGAACACCACAGAAATAGTTTATACTCATATTAGACAAACTCTGACAGAGAGCCTGGTACTTACCTGAAGTTTGTTAGAATAATTTACCTTTAATCATCACAGTGATGGAGGGAAACATCTTTCAGGGTATAGGCTAGGAAGTTACACCAATGACATGTGTAGAAAGATTCATTTATGTTACCTGTTCTTGCTTCTCCAGCCACCTATCCACCATTGGGTGACTGGCACTCAGAGATGAGCGAGCATTGTCTCTCTGAAATTGGTGAGACCAGTTACTAGCATCCCGTGGAAGGCTTCTATAGTTTTCATCTTTCTATTCAAAAAGAAACAAAAAGGTGTCTTGTAAAAAACCAGACTTTGCAAATTAACGATGCATTTGGTCTTCCAAAAGTAGCAGAAAAGTGATTCTGCATACTTAAAATATTTTTCCCAAACCTACACAAAATAGCTGATTGAGGACATTTCACCCAGATTAGACCTCATGAATGCAGTCATCCGTCTAGGGTTAAGGGAGTGTAATGACTAGAGCAGGGAAGGCAGCCACATATATACGCGCACAGGAGACAAAACCATTTTCCCTGCACTCCCTCCCAAATCAATCTCCCCAGGCCAATTACATGCACTAGAAAATGAAAAGTATTTCTCTACAAGACTGTTGATATCTCTCAATCATGGAATTTCCTCTTCTTTCTAGTCTTATAATAATATTGTGAGATATTTTCTATAATTCACCAAAAATGTAAAATAAGAAAGATGAATGAATTTGCTCTTTATTTAGATCTCTGTAGTTGTGTGACTTTGGGCAAGAGACTTAAGATTCTCTAGACTGTTCTGTTAGCTACTTTACGAGCTAGTTGTATGCATTAATTCAAATATCAACTGAAAGGAAAAATTAATTTATCCCAATACATGGTACATAATAGATACATAACTGCTCATCCCAAGGTGCTTATGGCAAGTGAAGTCTTTACATAAAAACCTAGTTAGCTAATAAATATTTACTTAATATGTCCCAAAGTAGACACCCGGGTGGCTCAGCTGGTTAAGTGTCTGCCTTAGGTCATGATCCCAGGGTCCTGAGATCGACTCCTGCTGTTGGGCTCCCTGCTCAGCGGGGAGTCTGCTTCTCCCTCCACCCCTCCTCCTACTCATTCTCTCAATCTCTCTCTCTCTTTCAAACAAATAAATAAAATCTTAAAAAAAAAAAAATGTCCCAAAGCAACCAAATGCTACTGGATATTTCTTTGAAATAATAACTTATAATAATCTGCTTTGGCTTCTGGGCTGCAAAACCTAATTTCAGGGGCACCTGCGCAGCTCAGTCATTAAGCGTCTGCCTTCAGCTCAGACCATTATCCCAGGGTCCTGGGATCAAACCCCGCAACAGGCTCCATGCTCTGCGGGAAGCCTGCTTCTCCCTCTCCCACTCCCCCTGCTTGTGTTCCCTCTCTCGCTGTCTCTCTCTCTGTCAAATAAATAAATAGAATCTTTAAAAAATAAAACCTAATTTCAATGTCCTAAAGAGAAATGAGGAAGGTAGGATAAGGCAGAGAAGTCAAACATTTTAGTTCAACATGTAAATCTAAATATCTCCTACAAGAACAAATTTAAAATGTTAACCACTTCGGCCCACTTACATCAGCGCCCCACTTTAAGTGAAGGACCAAAATATTCTCCTTAATAACTCTGTTAAGGATGATCTGGCTGTATACATTATACACATGACTGTTTCTTATTCCTCATGACTTAAACCATATGAGCAGCAAATACATAGACACGAAAAAGTATAATGTAACAGGTTTGCACTGTACAGACCTTAGCAATAGACCAAGATACAGTTTTCTGCTCCTTCATGAATTCCATCAGAGAAAAAAGCTTCAAAATGAATTGACAGTCCGGAACCTATGCCAATATTGTGGTGTACAAAAAAATCTTTTTAAATCTATAAATATTTACCAGTATAAACTTCAGTATGAAACTTTAAAAAGTTTTCTTTTTAATATACCTAGATAAGAAACTAAAACCTCTAAAGAATTAAACATTAGCAGCAAGTACTTTTACTAGAAAACCTCTGTACATGTCTGGTTACTGCAGCTCAAGAAAGCTATAACACAGCATGTAACTGCGAGCACAAGGAAAACACTGTAGGATTACGATGCTGCTCCACACCCAGGAATCAGGGACTGACCTTGCTTGCAGGAACATGGAAATGGTAAAATAAGCAAAGGACACAGGCAAAGTCTAAGGAAAAGAATAAAGCAACTTTAGAAACCGAAGCTCACTGTATCTCAAAATACTAGGAGCTCTGCCTTAAAACCCGCGCGTGATAACTTGAGAACAAAGCAAAGTTAGCTGACTTAATGCCAAGAAATTCAAGTAAGTCATAAGGGGTAGATAAATGTATTACTGAGAGAATATTAAATATCCACGAAGGGAGGAAGGATTGGGAGTGCAGAGAAACACAAGTAGAATTTTTGTATCAAGGATCTTGGGGCTGCTACCATTGGCTAAGGACCCAGCTTCTCTATTCATTTTCCACCATTAGAGGTGATTACTACATCAACTCTTTACTTTGAAAATGAATAATTAAACACAAAGTATTAAAAATCTATTCTGCCTTTTCAGGAGAACTGTATTTCAGGGAAACCAACAGTGCCAGTCGATGAGGGGAAGCTTGTCTTTTCAGAAGAATGCCACGTAATGCAAACAGAATAATGAATAGATTTAGAAAACTCACCGCATGCAGCTCCTAAAGAAATAACTCCTTCAGGCAAAGACTAGAATCAATGGATTCTATAACTGTTAGATGAAGAGTTGATAGTGAGCTGGATGTTCACATAGTGACAAAATACCACTTGCAAAAAGGGAAAAGTAGATCTTTAAAATGAAGAGACCAAATGACACAAAATGCTCATTTTCCTTGGTGTCTAGAATCCAGGATGTGACTGGTACTTTCTTTTGATTCCTTCTGAATCTCCACCATTATTTTTCTTTCCTGAAATGGCCCTTATTAGCTCTGTCTATGGCTTGCTCACTCCTGTCTCCTTAGCCAAGCTCAAAAAGTGTATCATTTCAAAACCTCCCTCCTGACAACTTCCAGGCATAGGTCATCAACACTAAACTTTTCCTGAATTCATGATCTAAATTTCCAACCAGCCATCCCAAAGATAACTCCAAATCAACAGATCCAAAATGAAACTCACTTTCTCCATCAATCCTGGCACCCCTCTGAAAAATGTTCATCATGCTCTTCACCTCTTTTGACTCATGTCTCATCTGAAACTAGTACAGCAACTTTCGAACTGGAGGCTGGCCCCAGCCTTAACCTCTCCAACAGTGCTCTCCGCCACTTCCCACAGAGGACTGTTCTACAATGTACGCTGAAAGCACATCACCCATGGGACAGACACTGCAGGTAGCCCAGAGGAAACTGCACACAATCACGCTTGCTGTGCCACATGCCTCTTCACCTTCACTTATGCTCTTTCAGAGCCTAGACTCCAATAACATTTCTTCTGTAAGATCACTTACCATTTTTCAACACCCAATGCAATCCCTACTTTCTCTAAGAAGGATTCCCGGCCTTTCAATAAACATCAGAATGTCATGCTTCTTATTACCACTATATTCTAATTTTACTTCTAATTTCAGTTCTAACTTATAATTTAGTTAATTTTTAAAATTGCTATTTCCACTATTACATCGAAACCAAGGCAGAAGATCACCATTCACCTTTAAACTCAAGCACTTAGCTCAATGGCCTATACCAATATGGAGGGCTTTTACTTCAATATGTGTTGTATTTCCCATTTTTACATGGTTCAGAATCCCAGAATTTTCAAAGAACACTTCTATAAGTTGTTTTAAAAATTAAAAAGGGAATGCTTTCAAAAGGCATCACTATAAACATCAGTGAAACGCATTTTCACTGAAATATGATTGTACGTTTAGATTTATACTACAAGATGTATAACTGTTATATGCCTATTTCAATTCAATGTCACACCTACAGTATACAATGTCTGTGGATAATGTAATTACTTCCAATTGCATCTAAAAAGCAGTGTGACATTTCTCCAATTACATCAATTATGACATGTAATTCATGTTTCAGGCCACCACAAAATAATCATATTAAAGGAGATAAGGGCTAAAGATTTAAAAAAAAAAATCTGTCCTTTTGAATTCCACCCAAAAAATTCAATTTTATATTTGTAGAATCAACTTTGAGTAGTTAATAGATAAGAAAAATAAAATCGATATTAACCCCTCATAACAAAAAAATTTTCCTAATTCAATATTGTTATGGTAATGTCAATAATGAATTCATACATTAATTTATAATGTATGAGAAGCCCAGCTGAAGTAACCTTAGTCATTATCAAGAAAGTGAAGAATTTCTAAAATATATTATTAATCACTATGCAATATATGCTTTACTTTGTTGATAGCATCATGCAGGTACTACTAGCATTTCACTCATGTTCTCCCTCACAATCCTGAGCTTGATCCAAAGTTCAGACAAAGACTGTAGTCCTATAAAGTTGTGATTCTGTATTTATAATGTTAGTATAACAACAAATACTATAACATGCAATATGATTTCTCCTTCACAATATATGCTTGGATATTCATGATTTCCAGTTGAAATGTATACAGTACATATTATTTTCAGCTTAAAAATATTCATTTCAGTGTAAATGATTTTAAAAACATAGTAGTCTTAAATGTAGTGATCTGAAGGGGCACCTGAACCCCAATATTTATAGCAGCAATGTCCACAATAGTCAAACTACAGAAAGAGCCCAGATGTCCATCAACAGATGAATGGATAAAGAAGATGGGGGGGGGTGTAATGGAATACTACTAAGCCATCAAAAAATGAAATCTTCCCATTTGTAATGTCATGGATGGAACTGGAGGTCATTACGCCAAACGAAGTCAGTCAATCAGATAAAGACAATTATATGATCTCACTCATAGGTGGAATTTAAGAAACAAAACAGAGGATCATAGGGAAAGAGAGGAAAAAATAAAACAAGACGAAATCAGAGAGAGAGGGAGATAAACCATAAGAGAATCTTAATCATAGGAAACAAACTGAGGGTTGCTGGAGGTGAGGGAGGGGGGGGGATGAGGTAACTGGTTGACAGACATTAAGGAGGGCACCTGATGTAATGAGCACTGGGTATTATATAAGACTGAGGAATCAATGACCTCTGCCTCTGAAACCAATAATACATCATATGTTAATTAACTGAATTTAAATGAAAAAAAAATTCTTTAAAAAAAATAAATGCCATATCATCTAGC